TTTATCTATATACTTAATAACTTCTATCATTGGTAAGATGATAGAGGCTATAAATAAAGTTCATTTCACTTCTCTAGTTCAAGAATTACTTACAGCACACCTTTTCTACATGGAAATTGGGCAACCTATCAGACTGAGTACAGCAGCTCTTTTGAATCATTGTTCAGTTCTTTTGTATCTGTGTATCAGATATAAAATTGAAAAAGTAGTTGTATGTGTTTGAGAAAATGGGCTAAATGGCAATTCTGACATTTGTTTCTTTTATTTCATTTAAATTGTTTGATGTTGAAGTAAAGTGTTTTACAGTGGTCTGTTCCATCTAGGTTCTTAGGTTTGCTACAAATCATTTCTAGTTTTGTGTAAGTGTAACGCAATACTAACTTCAGGTCCGAAGAAATGCAGGTGGTGTTTTGTGCATTTAAACTCATTCTACTGTAAATGAGTAAGTTTTTTCATAAATGTGGATGGAATGAAACATGCCAAACCAAATGCTGTATTTCTTACGGGTAACAATTGTTTTATATTGCTGGTTGTAATTCAGGATGTGAGCATGCTGCGTTATGTAGGAATAGCAATCATTCTGGATTCTAAACTGCACGTGACTAGGAGCCACAAAACACACTAATCAGAGTGTTAAGGAGAGGGCATACTTTGCAAGTGAATTTGTAATCAGGAGATAAGATAGCTTGCGAGGAACAAATCTTTTGTATATCAGTATTGAACTGCTCTGTACCTGCAGCTGGATTTTGGGAGGAGCTGATAACTAGGCTTCAGCAGCCCTTGGTAGCTGACTCTCTCTTGTACCTTTTAAGACTAGTCTCCAGCATTCATACTCGGCATGCCTGGGTGTTGGTGATAGGATAGGACACAGTGCTGGCATGATACCTGTTTGAACTATTTTTGAGTTCAAACTCCAGGCTGACTGTATATGTACAAAAACTTAGTGGTACGTCAATGTCAGAGATTTTAAAAATCTAGATTTATCAAGGGGAAAATAGTTAATGTTTTTCCTGCTCAGTGATGTGTGTTAAGTGAGTTTTTTCAGTCTATCTTTGTGAATTGGAGTCTTTACACTTGGGGAATCAAAATGCTATGTGTCTGATGATTACTTCAGAGAAATTATTTCCTCCTCTTTCTCGTACTTAAATTTCTGCCAGAAAAAAATTCATCACGTTGTCCTTAATGTTGTTTTCAATGTCCTATCTAGAACCAGGCTCAGAAAGTCCTATGGAAGACTTGCCTTCAACAGATCGATTGCGTTTTGACAGATTTGATATATGTCGGTTGTTAAAACATGGTGCATCTCTTCTTGGATCTGCTGGTGCAGAATTTGAAGTCCAAGATGATAAATCAGGTATATCTTTATTTTACTTGCAGACAAGAAAACTTACTCAGGAAGGTTTACTGTGACAGTATTATGAGTCTAGCCATCCATGGCTTCTCAGAATGCTAGGAAATAACAGAAGAAAATATTCCTCAACATAGCTAGTTTTTATTCTTTTTGTCAAGATGAAGGATTATTTTTATTATTTTTTTTTTCTTTTAGGGGATGCCTAGTGTTTGTTTTTTCTCTTACTGGAATTAGTATGTGTTCGGGGGGGAAGAGGATATTAACAGCTTCTGTAGAATTTCTGTAGACTTTGAGGTGCAGAAACTATCACCACTTGTCCTTCATTAAAACAGTGTTGCCAAATATAGTAGTAGGATGTGGCTTATTTGAAAGCCTTAAGCTTTCAAATATAGAAAGATCGCATGAAAAATACCGCGATAATACTGTCAAAGTTGAGAGGTAAAGTATCAGTACCAGTGAGATGCCTTTTGTTTCAAGTGACTTGTCTGATATCTTCCTGAAACCTTTTAGTTGGGAGGATTGGTTTACTTTCCTGCTCTAATTCCAATCCGTATTCCAGTTTCTGCTCCAACTGAATGTTGCAGTAGATAAGAATCTGCTTTGACTGCATAGCCCTGATTCACTTGTTCTCTGCGTGTGATGCTGCATTCTGTGCAGGGTGCACAGATCGCTAGCTCAGCGAGGAACAGAACCTATGGCTGCTGACACTTAAGCAGTGTCCTGTCTGTTAAGCCTGGCTGCTGTTTTATTGCTTGCTGTCTTTTATGCTAGGTTATTAAGGTGTTGTGTAAGTTTTAGCACTTCTAATGAAACCTTACCTGTTCAGAAATCAAGTAGATGGAATAGGACACTTTAGTTCATAGAAGTCTTGATATTTATTCCAGTGTCATATGATTGCACATAAATAATTTTATGGATGCAAATAAATTTTGTAAATAATGTAAGTAAGGAAATGAAACTAAAAATAGCTTTATTTGCTGATTTTTTTTAACTGGTGGGAGGATGTTCAAATGCTGCTTTTTCTTCTGTGTAGTGTAGCAGCTTTCCTTTTAAAGTAAGTAGCCAATGTGAATGGACATAAATCAAGCTAAATAATTTTTAGAAGTCCTAAGATGACCTTGTGAAAGGAAAAATATTTTCTAGGGAATTTGGAGAATGGAAGTTGTTTGTATTTCTCTGCTTGTCAGTTAAATGCAATTTAAAAAAATATATAATCCTGATGTATATCCCAAAATTCTACCAATACTAGTTACCTGCTCACAAGCTTCTGTGCAGACATTTGACCTAAAAAAACCACCACCACTACCCCACCCCCAACTCCCAAAAGAAAGAAACCAACCCCCCCAAAAAAACACAGCTGCACGACTGATTTCCGTACCACATGTGTTTATTAGAGAAAAAAAAAAAGAGATGTCTGACAGCCCTACAAGATACAAGTTTTATTTTACTTGGAGGGTTTATTCTACCCAGGCACTAAAATCTTCTATTTTTCCATGTAAATGTCAGTGCTCACAAAGTCTTGGTGTTTAGTACTTAGAAGTGTTGAAGCTTCACAATGTTGTTGAAGTAGCTTTTCTTAACTTCCTGAATGAGCCTCGTGTGACACATCAAGATTGAGGATAAGGTTGTTAAGACTCCAGCACTCTAGGAAAATCATACTTATGCTTCAGTCCACATTGCCATCAGGAGTTAGTTTGGGCAGAAGGAGACACCTGGGTCTAGTGCATTTTACAGGGAAGACTGTTTCTGAAGAAAACTGGTTCAGATTCAACCTAGCTTAATATAGGATATTGGACTGTGTATTATTCCAGGAGTTTTACAGGGGGGTACTATTTCTTAGGTCTGTTTTTCCCAGCAGAAGATAAAGTTTAGGAAGGAAAGAAACTTTAAAAACAAACAAAACACTCAAAAATCAAGATCCCACAAGGATGCTTGTGTTCAGTAAAAAAGTGCTGGTTTCTGAATCAGTTGCTGAATTGCTGAATTTATTTGTAGTGTGTTAATTTGCTACTTTCAAAGTGCTCTTTTCTAAATCTGGGGAAAACTTGATTTATTTACATGTGGTCTAGAGAAGTAAAAAACCATAATTTAATGAATTTCAGGAGAGATTTTCTGCTTAGAATTTGACTGCAGTTTAAGTATTAGTGTAGCTTCAGCAGCAGGAAAAGTTTTCCTAGGAATCGATGTGATTGTTTAGAGAGATTGTATTAATGTATTAGCCAAGTACAATTTAATTCTGTAATTTTTGGCTTTCTTATGTTATTTCATTGAGGAAATCTTCAATAATACGTCAGACTGGAAGTCTAACACATCTTCCCTTTTTAAAAATCTTTTAAGGTGAAATTGATCCTAAAGAGAGGATAGCACGACAGAGGAAACTGTTACAAAAGAAACTTGGCTTAGATATGGGTGCTGCAATTGGGATGAACACTGAGGATCTGTTCAATGATGAAGATCTGGACTATTCTCCTTCTTCAGTTTCACTAGTAAACAAACAACCTGTAGGTAAAACCTTGGACTGTTTGAATGCAAGGAGTAATACAGTGGGTTTGCTTTATTTGTGCTGCCGTAGTTATATTTTTTTATATTTTAAGTATAGTGATCAGCATCTAATATGAAGCTTCAGGCTCCTGAATTCATAGTTGCATGTTAGTGTTTGATGTCAAACTGCTGCCCTGAGTTTGAGATGGAATTGGGGAAGTTGAGAGCGCTGTGGATTTGATAATTCTTCAAGACCTTCATTGTAAGAAGAATTGACAATGAATGACTTCTCTTTCAGACTCTTCAGGCTGCTGAGTTAATTGACTCAGAATTTCGGGCTGGTATGAGCAGTAGACAAAAGAATAAAGCCAAAAGAATGGCTAAGCTTTTTGCAAAGCAAAGATCCAGAGATGCTGTGGAAGCTAATGAGAAGAGGTATAATAGTGAACTGGTTTGCTTTTATTTCAGTTAAGCTGGGATTGTGATTTATCTGTTGGAAAACTTCCTATGGTCTTTGCATCTTAATCTGTTACGTGTTAATTATGCTGATGGTAAAAAGATCGCATGCCATGCATGTTCCCAGTAGAGCTTCATTAAGGGCCTAGCTTCAGAGGGATCTTGAAATAATGGGATGCTACAGTTAAAATTAGTGCATGGAAATGGGGGATTTAATAAGATAATAATAAAAAATGTAAGATAAAATCCTGATGTATGCTGGTTCTTCACTGTAGTTTTTAATGGCCTATTATTGCACCTACTATGTTTATACAAGCAGTAAATAAAATTCTTTCCTTAATTTAAGAATTGCTGTATTTCTGGGAAAAGGCTGAGGACTGCCAGTTTGAAACAGCGTTCTGCTGTCTCCTTGCTGAATTTTTTACATGTAAACTTAGTGATTTTGCATATTTCAGTGTTAAATAGCTTTCTTTTGAATTCTTGCTACACTTCATTGTACCTTCAGCTGTAGAAATAATTACTTCTGCCTAAACTATATTTTCAGTTCATAAATTTATACTTGTTCCTTCTCAGCAACGATAGCACTGATGGGGAACCAGAAGAAAAGAGAAGAAAAGTTGCAAATGTTGTCATCAACCAGCCTGCTACAGACTCAAGAACGTTGGTAGAAAATGCTCCAGAAGAGGTATGATGTATTGTTATGCTGTTAGCACGAATGGTCATTCCATCTTTTAGTAATGTAAAACGAAACTCTTTTGTGCTCCCAAATTCTTCAGTCACTTTACTCCGCTTCTCCGAATGCTAAAGAATGCCTTTGACGGCTTGCTTCTACATGTAGTAGGGTAAATGAGCTTGAAACTCTGCATAGCATCGAAGAAGAAAACATATTTAATCTATTGGTTGCAGTTCGTGACCCGAATGAACCTGAGTGGGTGGATTTACAGGTGTCAGACCTGGGTATTAAACTGTAAAACTGTGCTAAACACTTAAATGATAGGATTATACTGAGCCATAAATAATTTGATCTGAATGTTCATGCATACTTTTTTTAATCTTTGCCTTATTTTAATTAGTCTTAATTTAGAATTAAATCTTCGACTACTAAAGATAGAACTTAAACAATTACTTTAGTCTCAGGAAAACTGGCATTTGTTTCAATAGACTGAAAAGCTGAAAAAAACTGTAAGAAATGCTATACTGGAATACAAATGGTATATAGAAGTTCGTCTGAAGGGAGTTTATCTTAATTAGTCTGTATTCTACAAAACTAAGACTTTTTCCTCCAGGCGTAGCTTGGTAATTAAATTTATTTGCAAAATGATGATTTGAAAATGGATTTGAGAGATTAATGACAACTGCAGGCTGAATAGCTGCTGGTTGCTAGCCTTTCAAATATTTTATGTTGGTGATGGTGTGAACTTACTGATGTTAACATTGCAATTTTCTTTCCACAGCCATGTTGGTTTCCTTGGAATAGTGGATATGCTTCTGGTTTTCAAAAATGCAGAATGTGTTTTGAAAAGCATGCTGTTATTTATTACTAGATTAATTGACCCAATTTGTTTATGTAGTATAATTTCAAACTGAGACTTGCCTGTTATGTTCTTTAAAGGGAAAGTTAAATGTAAAGAATTATTGGGAAGGATAAGAAACTTTGCTTAATTTTGTGCCTTACCATGGTTCCTAAAGGGAGGCCGAATTCTAGAATGTCAAAATTAATTATTACAAACAGGCAAACTTCATACGCTTTTATAAGATCTAGCACCAATCAGCGAAGTTTCTGAAGTGTAGAAGAAGGTTATTTGTTTCTCTCTATTCTGTCCAGTAACAAAGCTTTTGGATGTCTCCATTATCTTCATGTATCTAAGTGGCATATGATAAAAGAACGTGTTTGCCTGATCCCTCTTTCTTTTAATCTTGTATTTAATTTTTTATGAATTTAGGCAAATGAATGGCCTCTGGAAAGCTTTTGTGAAGAGGTGTGCAATGACCTTTTCAACCCTTCTTGGGAGGTAAGACGTGCAGTATCTAAGGTGTAAATATTGGTTTTAAAAAAAGGGTTCAACAGAAACAGACAAATTGTGTGTGTAGGACTTGAGCATTTTGTTCGATACCAAGATGAAATAAATCATAAATGCAGATTACATTGCCAGGACAAATCTTCTTTTAGAGAACTTAAGTGCTTTCTAAAACTCATTTAGAGGGGAAATTAAAAACTGATGTGTCGTGTATACTCAGGCAGAGAGTGGGAAAATTGTGGAATGCACTGGTAAGTGAGAATTCTGGAAGTATTGAAATTGAAGCACAGTAAAAGCACACGAATCTATCATCAAAAATATTAAGCAATTAAAACAGGCTTGGATTCATCAAGACTTCAAGGAATATTATGCAAGTCTGCTGACAACAGTGGCACATTTTTCTAATGCTAAGCTAGTAGAAAAGCAGGCAGGAATCACTCCTTTATTAATGGGATGATAGGCTACAAATCATTCATTGTTCTCTTCATTTGTAAAAAGAGCTTCTAGCTTTTTTTTTTTAGAAAGGTAGTAAATACAAACTACAAAAGCTATATTTGGTTACCTAGACAACTTATTTTCAAGATTTAAAATGTGTTCTGCTCACCCTTTTATTCATTCTCTATACTTTTATTCCACAAACTTTATTAGTTTCAAGCAAAAATATGAAGTAGCTGACAGTGGTCTCTTCCTCGATCAAAAGATGGAAATAACCGTTGTGAATTAACTTCGGCTTTTTAAGTTAAAAATAAGCTTTTGAACACCAACTATAACAGACTTAGTTGGCTATGTCCATACTGTCCTCAAGCTTGGAAACAGAGACACATCATATGCCCTCAGCACCATTATTTTGGGTGCAGAAGAAGGATAATTATGTTCATGTGGCACATCACTGCATCGTAGCTAATAAGCCTCACTTTATTTGAAAGCTGGCTCTTCGCAGCTGATGCCAAAGTCCACTTGTCACCTGGAATGCAGACATTTTCATAGCTTTCTTAGTACCTTTGATAGTGCATCTTAATTAAGGAAGTAAATCAATACAAAATCATTATTATGGTATGTTATGGATGAAAAACAGGTTAAACTACTTCTAAATACATGTTTATAAAATGGCCCTCTGGCATCTTCTTGGCCTGGATGACTATTCAGACTGCTTGCCTAGCTCATAGGCAGCTGAAGTCAGACAAGATGAATCCCTGCTGGTAGACCCAGGGGACTACAGGCTGGTTAGTGTCACCTCTGGCAAGACCATGGAGTGGATCCTCTTGGAAATTATGCTAGGGCACATGGAAAATTAGGAGATGACTGGCAACAGCCAACGTGGCTTCACTAAGGGCAAATCATGCCTGACAAATTTGGTGACCTTCTGTGAGGGGATTACAGCATTTAGTGGATAAGGGAAAAGCAACTGACATCATCCACTTGGGCATGTGCAAAGCATTTGACACTGTCCCGCATGACTTCCTGGTCTCTAAATTGGAAAGACATGGATTTGAGGGATGAACCACTTGGTGAACAAGGAATTAGTTGGATGATTGCACTCCACAAACGTTGTGGTGAATAATTCAACATCTGACTGGAGAGCGGTGATGAGTGGTGTTCCTTGGGGTCAGTATTTGGGACCAGTGCTTTTTACCATCTTTGGCCGCATGGACAGCGAGCGCACCCTCAGCAAGTTTGCCAGTGACACCAAGCTGTGTGGTGCAGTTGACACACTGGAGGAAGGGATGCCATCCAGCAGGAACTTGACAAGTGTGAGAGGTGGGCGTGTGCAAACCTCAAAATTTGGCAAGACCAAATGCAAGATTCTGCATCTGAGTTGGGGCAATCTCAAGCACAAATACAGGCTGGGTGATATGTGGATGGAGAGCAGCCCTACAGAGAAAAACTTGGGGGTGTTGTGGATGAAAAACTACATATGAACCAGTAATGTGTGCTGGCAGCCCAGAAAGCAAATGGCATCCTGGGCTGCATCAAGAGAAGTGTGGCCAGCAGGTCAAAGGAGGTGATTCAGCATGATTCAGACAATCAGCAGACTGGAGCACCTCACTTGTGAAAACAGGCTGAGAGAGTTAGGGCTGTTCAGCCTAGAGAGGAGAAGGCTTCAGGAAGACCTTCCAGTACTTGAAAGGGGCTATAGGAAAGAAGAGGAGGGACTGTTTATCAGGACCTGTAGTGATAGGATGAGGGGTAACAGATTCAAACTGAAAGGGAGTAGATTTAAATTAGATATCGGGAACAAAGTTTCTTACTGTGAAGGTGGTGAGACACTGGCACAGATTGCCCAAGGGAGTTGTGGATGCCTGGTCCCTGGAAGTGTTCAAGGCCAGGCTGGATGGGGCTTTGAGCATCCTGGTCTTGTGGGAGGTGTCTGTGCCCATGGCAAGGGGGTGGAACCAGATCATCTTTCCAACCCAAGCTGTTTTATGATTCTAAGATTCCATGCTACTTCCTTCATGCATTTGTATGTCTTAGTGCCATTTTATGCTTGCAGAAGGTGTTAACTAGCGAAGCCTTCCTCTCTTGGCTTGTAAAACCTAGCTCATAATCAATCTTAGACCAAGTAAACAAGTGATTGGTGTATTATGAATAATTAGTATTTTAAGACTAGGTTCTCTGGCTGTCTTTTATGGACTTGCTTGTAGGTTTTATCAGCAGCCACTGAGCTGTACACATGAGGACATGTATGTTTGCATTTCACCCAAGGTACTCTGATGAAGGGAGGACCTACCCACTGCTCAGTTCTAGTTGTTAGTGTTACGAAATGAAGTAAATAATTTTCTATTACCAGGTATATGAAGTGCTCTTAAAAAAAGAAAGAGTCCTCTTCTAATCTATGTAAAGGCCTCTTGGTGAAAACCTTACTCAAAACTTTGGTTTTGTGACTTCCTGTGTATCTGTTAAGTGGACTTTTTTGATTAGCCAATTACTAGTCCAATTACATATCAAAAAATGCCAGAAACAGGTGTGTCCATAGCACATCTTTCTGCTGTTTATGTTTGGTGGGAACACAAACATAGCTATAGTTTGCTTTCCCATATCACTCGTTCACTTATTTTTTTTAGTATTTAGCCAAGCTATGCAGAATAGAAATTCTCAGAAATTTATTTTGCAGACCCCAAAATATTCAGTGGGGATCCAGACTCTGTTTAAGCAATATAAATGGTTCTAAAGAAATATAATTATATTAGATAATATAAAGAGAAATATAAAGTGTTTAAGAAATAAAAGAATATTGCTTTTCTTCAGCTTATGTACTTACTAAAACCATTAATATCTTCTAGTTGCTCTTCCTCTGAACACTAGTCTCATTTAGTTTAACCTCACTATAAGAAAACTGTCTTTGGCCACATTACTACAAATGTGGTAATACCTTCTTCTCTGTTAGAAAATAGAAGCAATTCTTTGTTACTTCTGTCCATAAGCTGGAAAACACTTAGGAAAAAAAACAGATTGGTATTTAAGTATATGATTTGATCTAAGAAAGTACTACCCTTTCCCATACGACGAAGTACCACTAACTCTGTATCATGGAATCGCTGGCTCTTAGAGATTGGAAGGGACTTCTGGAGATCGAGTCCAACAACTCTGCTAGAGCAGAACCTCAGAATCTAGGGTGGGTTACACAGGAACACATCCAGGCAGGTCTTGAAAGTCTCCAGAGAAGGAGACTCCACAGCCTCTCTAGGCAGCCTGTTCCAGGGCTCTGTAACCCTTACAGTAAAGTTCTTCTTCATGTTGAGGTGGAACATCTTTTGCTCTAGCTTGAATCCACTGCCCCTTGTCTTATCACAGGGTTCAAGTAAAAAGAGACTGTTCTTTTCTTCTTGATGCCCACTCTCATGTTTATACACATTAATTAAATCCTCTCTGTCTTCTCCTATTCAAACTTAAAAGCTCCAGGTCTCTCAGCCTTTCCTCATAAGGCAGGTGTTCCAGTCCCTTAATCATCCTCATAGCCCGAAGTGTAGCACTTGAAACATCTCTATTAAGGACAAAGTAGTATTGTTTCAGTTACTCAGTGTAGTTTTCATCCTCTGTTCCTGCATATTTTGACTTTTTATTTCAATTTTCTAGGTTCGACATGGTGCAGGTACTGGGCTGAGAGAGATACTTAAAGCTCATGGTAAAAGTGGTGGTAAAATAGGAGATAGCTCATTAGAAGAGGTAAGCTTCCAGTCATGTAAACTTAACATGTTACTTTCGAAATTTAGAAATCAGACTTCTTAAAATACTTAAGCTTTGCAGGAGATCGGTGATCTGGAGGAGAACAAACTGTGAGATTTGTTTGCCCTAAATAATCTGGATGAAATCACTGTGTGCACTGATGAAATATTTATTTTTAAAAGACCTGTGCAAAAACTACTACTGCTGTATAAGCAGCCATTAATATGTAGACTATGTGTAAGCACTAGCTTCTGTAATAGCAAATACTAGCTTCAGGTCATGGCAAGGGTGTGCTGAAACAAGATTGACATGTTGATTATGTAGCTTTAGTAAAGTGTCTCAGACCTGTTTGTTTACATAGTAAGGTGACTATTGATCTGCTTGCTTTGTTATTATGAGAAAAAGTATTTAAATAGTCTATTTTAAAGGAAAACACCTGTTTTAAAAATCTCCTGATAGTAGTAAGCTTGTTTACTATTAATGAATCTCATCCAGATTCCTACTGGCTTCCTTGCTGTCAAAGCAGCTGGGAGACTTTGTGGTTTAGAGAGTGTTGAAAAATGAGGAGATACATTTATCAAATTAAAGCTACTTCAGCGTACTTTGTATGTAG